GAACCACCTCAGCAGTACTCCGTTTAAAAGTTATGTGACCTCTGTAAATATGAAGCAACTGCTTGGTGGGGGGAAAAAAGTTGCACTACCTGTACATCAACCCCAGTTTGAGAAAGCATATTTGAGTAATTTTTAAATTTTGTGTTTCCAAGATTAAACGGGAGCGAAGAATTTAACACAAATTTACAAAGAGCACAACAGCGATATTGACATGACTGATCTTTTTGAGCGCCGCTGCATCCTAGATAAATATATACTGTACATCCCAAGAAAATTTGATATATCATAGAACATCATATACATTGTAAGTGGGTCCCATAGGCATGACTGCCTGTTAGGGACGGTGTGGATACAGCACACTGTAAACTAAGCCTTCGGTACACACGGAGGCAGCATGGGCGGTACTGTACTCGACCGTCTTCACTTCCCCAAGTTGTAAATTTGGGTACCCATTTACAGCTGGGTGAACTAGGAGCGGCCAGGAATCAAACTACCGGCCCCTGGAACAGTAGGCGAGTACTGTATCCGCCCGACCTCCGAACTAAGTCAGAATAATGCCAGTAATAGTAGTGACACTTGTAAGGAAGTATCGGTGTTTGTAAGACAATAGAATATACTGAAAGTTTGAGTGATTCCAAACATCTTTATTCTATTAATTAGCTGAAATAGCGTGTTTATGAAATTGTTAACTTGAAAAGAATGAAGAAAAGGCTTAACCCTGAAGGACACAAGTTCTGATAACTGCACGTACCACAACTGAGACGGGACAATTGGAAAGTTACAGTTGATTCAAAAAACAGAGAAAATCAGGAAGGAAGCTCAGAACGTGTTATATGCCATAATAAGTCGAATGCTTGGGAAATATTGGTAGTCACAACAAAAGTCTCTTCAAACACCTAAGAGAGAAAACTAATATACGGATTACAAAAGAAAGATCACCAGTTGAATTTTCTTTGTAAAAACTGTAATGATAACCTGATAGAAGAGAGTCAGTTGTTTATAAAGGATGAGTGAAGGAGAGTTTCACATAATAGTACTTTGGGCAGTTGTCATGGCAGTGTCCCCCTTCCCTTACACTTACACCCAGACAGTCACCAGTAGTGAGACCAGTCCCCCCTGCTCCTCACAGTCACCAGTAGTGAGACCAGTCCCCCCTGCTCCTCACAGTCACCAGTAGTGAGACCAGTCCCCCCTGCTCCTGACAGTCACCAGTAGTGAGACCAGCCCCCCCTGGCAGTCACCAGTAGTGAGACCAGTCCCCTGCTCCTCACAGTCACCAGTGAGACCAGTCCCCCCTCCTCACAGTCACCAGTAGTGAGACAGTCCCCCCTGCCCACAGTCACCAGTAGTGAGACCAGCCCCCTGCTCCTGACAGTCACCAGTAGTGAGACCACTGACAGTCACCAGTAGTGAGACCAGTCCCCCTGCTCCTGACAGTCACCAGTAGTGAGACCACCACAGTCACCAGTAGTCCCCCCTGCTCCTGACAGTCACCAGTGAGACCAGTCCCCCTGCTGTCACCAGTGAGACCAGCTCCTGAGACCAGAGTAGTGAGACCAGTCCCCCTCCTGACAGTCACCAGTAGTGAGACCAGTCCCCCCTCCTGACAGTCACCCAGTCCCCTGCCCTGACAGTCACCAGTATTGAGACCAGTCCCCTACTCCTGACAGTCACCAGTAGTGAGACCAGTCCCCCTGCTCCTGACAGTCACCAGTAGTCACCAGTAGTGAGACCAGTCCCCCCTGCTCCTCACAGTCACCAGTAGTGAGACCAGTCCCCTGCTCCTGACAGTCACCAGTAGTGAGACCAGTCCCCCCTGCCTCACAGTCACCAGTAGTGAGACCAGTCCCCCTGCTCCTCACAGTCACCAGTAGTGAGACCAGTCCCCTGCTCCTCACAGTCACCAGTAGTGAGACCAGTCCCCCTGCTCCTCACAGTCACCAGTAGTGAGACCAGTCCCTGCTCCTCACAGTCACCAGTAGTGAGACCAGTCCCCTGCTCCTCACAGTCACCAGTAGTGAGACAGTCCCCCTGCTCCTGACAGTCACCAGTAGTGAGACCAGTCCCCTGCCCAGTCACCAGTAGTGAGACCAGTCCCCCTGCTCCTCACAGTCACCAGTAGTAAGACCAGTCCCCCTGCTCCTCACAGTCACCAGTGTGAGACCAGTCCCCTGCTCCTCACAGTCAGTAGTGAGACCAGTCCCCCCTCCTCACAGTCACCAGTAGTGAGACCAGTCACCAGTAGTGAGACCAGTCCCCTGCTCCTCACAGTCACCAGTAGTGAGACCAGTCCCCCTGCTCCTCACAGTCACCAGTAGTGAGACCAGTCCCCCTGCTCCTCACAGTCACCAGTAGTGAGACCAGTCCCCTGCCTCACAGTCACCAGTAGTGAGACCAGTCCCCTGCTCCTGACAGTCACCAGTAGTGAGACCAGTCCCCCTGCTCCTCACAGTCACCAGTAGTGAGACCAGTCCCCTGCTCCTCACAGTCACCAGTAGTGAGACCAGTCCCCTGCTCCTGACAGTCACCAGTAGTGAGACCAGTCACCCCTGGTCAGTCCTGACAGTCACCAGTAGTGAGACCACTGACAGTCACCAGTAGTGAGACCACCAGTCACCCCAGCTCCTCACAGTCACCAGTAGTGAGACCAGTCCCTGAGTCACCAGTAGTGAGACCAGTCCCCTGCTCCTCACAGTCACCAGTAGTGAGACCAGTCCCCCCTCTCACAGTCACCAGTAGTGCTGAGTCACCACCCCCTGTCACAGTCACCAGTAGTGAGACCAGTCCCCTGCTCCTCAGTCACCCAGTCCCCTGCTCCTGACAGTCACCAGTAGTGAGACCAGTCCCTGCTCCTCACAGTCACCAGTAGTGAGACCAGTCCCCCTGCTCACAGTCACCAGTAGTGAGGCCAGTCCCCTGCTCCTCACAGTCACCAGTAGTGAGACCAGTCCCCCCTGCTCCTGACAGTCACCAGTAGTGAGACCAGTCCCCCCTGCTCCTCACAGTCACCACAGTCACCAGTAGTGAGACCAGTCCCCCCTGCTCCTCACAGTCACCAGTAGTGAGGCAGTGGTTACAGAAGCCCTTTTCCTTTTAAACAGAGAAGAAGAGGGCTGTAATATGCTTCTTAGTGTTTCATACTGCATTATTTATTTTCATAATCCAGTCTGTCCAGTTACTAAAACAAACTAAATACGTACTCACTCTAACACCATCGTACAGTATTGTAGGTTTAAAAGCTGCTCTAAATTTAAGTTGCCAATTTATCCTAACATGATTTAGTAATTTACTGCTAAAGCTATTTTTTCTTCTTGCATGACACACGCCAGTTACACTTAGACGCAGGGCGTGGATTGTGTATGTCCAGAACAGTATGAGTGTAGGCAGCTGTGTTAATAACGGGCTGCCTGTGGTGGGTATCCGCCCGATGCCCACACTCGGCACGCCCTACTGCAGTCACCAGTCATCATAGGTTGAGGCATAATATATATATATATATATATATATATATATATATATATATATATATATATATATATATATATATATATATATATATACAGTATATAATTTATCCCCAGACAAAATCAATTGAATAAATAATGATCCATGAATCACACGAGTACGCGCTTCACTATGTTGTATAAGTCATCAGAATATGTATTGTGATAACTCGAACCCACGTGACTGGTCGTCATGGCATAAAACGAGTTGTCTGAGACGAATATGAAGAGTAAGGTGTTCCTCCATCTATTGATTTATCCATGAACATTTATGAATACCTGTTTCTCCCTTTGATACCCAATGCGTAATGAATACTAAACGCTCTTCTACTGGCAACTGTCCTCGTGAAAATAACTCGTTAGTTTCACCATCTTCTAGGTTTGTGATTGACCTAGAAATAATCTCACTACCAGATATTCATCAACCAAATCACAGCATTCATGGACTAAGAGCTTCTTAATATATTTTCTGCTCTTGTTGAACTATAGTCGAAGCTGTACTCCTGAAACATTATATCGCTCCGGAAGGTGTTGTGTTAAGAATGTTTCCGCCGGTGATACAATGAACAAATAGCTTGGTATAGTGTAAGCCAGTACCTGAGTTATGATGACAGATGTACTTCAAAATAGTACATTAAGTGAAAATGGTTTGCGTAATGTACACATCACACACATCCTCCCACCAAAACAAATAGAGAGGAACGTTAGAGTGTTCGGTGCCTGAGAACAGGACTTTGAAATAGTTATAGAAAAGAAGGAAACGTAATTAATTGGACGGTATAAACTATTTTTGGCCCTTTTGAAAAGATTAACTTTACCACCTTCGAAAACGTTATCATAGTCACGTAAGGGAATTATTTGACCTTAAATATAATCGTTTTGTTAGCGAGGCTTTTCGTTAATTATAATAATGCGATCAATAAGATTTTGTTTTTTGAATTATAGTTTTATTATCAATTAAAATGTAATGGTATTAAAGTGCGACTTGGAGATAAAGATTAAAAAAAAATGACAGCTACATATAGGTTAGGGGTGACTAAAGGAGACTACAAATTATTAAATTCTCTATTTGTTTCTTATAGAACAATTAACAGCCATGAGTAATCTTGAATTAGAGTCACAAGTCAACAACATACAGTATATGAGCTGATGATTTAAGAGCCTCCTATTTGAGTTCTTTTGCCCTGATGCACCTCCTGGGTTGACCTTGTTGTTGCTGCTGCTGCTCTTGCTGCAACACTTCAGCTTCTTCCTGCAACATCCTTGCCCATCCAGTATGTCTGTCTAATAGCTTCCTTATCCGGTTTTGCCACGGTGGATAACGTTGTTGAGTGACTCCAGCCACCACACAGCCACGGGAATCCTTCTAAGGCCACTTTCACCTCTTCTGCCGCCATCTTCAGGTCTTGTTTAACCCACATCCCCCATAGACCATCACATACATTATCCAATCACTCCAGCCGACACCAAGTCAAGACACACATTTTTTTTTTGCAGTTTACGATGGTTCCAGTGGAGACGAGGATATGATGGAAGACGTGGAGCGAGACCCTGGTCCCATGATGGACACCGGAAGTGATGTAATCTTAGATTATCCCTCAGACTGTTTCAAAGAAGCCTGTTATGTCAAGTGTCCTATGTGTGCGGTTAGTGTTTCTTTATTTCTGTGCACATCACGTATGCCAAAACTCCTTCATGTCAGTCCTCTTTATATGTTTCTTTTAATTCTTAAGTCAAACGCCTATCTACATTCATTGTCCGAGTATATGAGCCACATGTTGCCTTGCTTGTATTAACAGTTATAAATCACTGTACAGGGTGACCCCTCCTCTCCATTTTGGCAAGGCTGGGGCCATTTACGGCTGAAGACTTACCAACTGATTGAGAACAAATATTTTGAGACAGCCGTCATCACCATGATCCTTCTGTCATCTCTGGCCCTGGCCCTTGAAGACGTCTACCTGAAGGGTCGGCCAGTTCTCCAAGACGTACTCTACTATATGGACAGGATCTTTACTGTTATCTTCTTCATTGAGATGTTGATTAAGTGGGTAGCACTCGGCTTCGCCAAATACTTTACCAACGCCTGGTGTTGGCTCGACTTTCTGATTGTGATGGTAAGTTGGTTCACTTGATTTTACTTGTGTGCGTAATTGTGTATATGTATCGATACATTTGTGTATGTGTATATTTACAAAAGAATGTTTACAGTGCTGTGTGTGTGTGTGTGTGTGTGTGTGTGTGTGTGTGTGTGTGTGTGTGTGTGTTTTAACAGGCCACTCTAAGTAAAGCACTGTTGTATTACTGCATATGTCCGTGTTTCTTTAAACACCATAATAGTTTTTTTTTCGTACTGTAAAGTAACTCAGAAACTATTCATGTCATTTAATGTTATGGGATTGCAGAGAGGTAGTGGGGGCAGTGAGGTGGCGCTCGGCAACTCTTCACAGTGTGTTACCTTCACCTAGGATAAACCTCATAATTATTCTCGTATATAACAGCGCGGATTTGTTACAGTATTCTCTTTAATTCTTTATTCTTAATTATTTTTAAGATAATTGTCCTGGAAGCAGAATTCCTTAAGCTGAACCACCTTTATGTAGCAATAGATGTCATGCTCGCCAACTGTACTGTTTAGCACACCTACAGTATGGAGTTACGTTGTTCACCAAGCCAACTGGGTTATTATAAAAAAAAAAAACACTGATCAGCTTTAATAATTATTAATGCTACATTTTATCTATCTATTGCAATATAATTTTGCTCTGAAGGTAAGTGTTAGACTCTAAATGGTTGAGCTCCAGTGCTGGAGTCCTTAAGTGAACTGTACAGTAAGTCTGGTACTGTTCACTGCTGCTCAAGCCCCTTTAAGCATAACCTTTGTGTGTTCTTGAAGTCCACTCATGAAGAGTGTGTGTGTGTGTGTGTGTGTGTGTGTGTGTGTGTGTGTAAAAACAAATACACACATAATGAAAAACTATTGACGACACCATAATATACATATGAGAAACAGATTTGTAATGTGTAAATGTGTAAGTTAGTATATACGAGAGTGTGCGGGCAGCATGTTTAGGTATATGTTGAAGAGGCATCACACTTCTTGTAACACACTTGGTCTTGTAGGTGTCACTGATAAACTTGGCTGCTATTTGGGCCGGAGCTGACGACATACCAGCGTTCAGATCGATGAGAACGTTGCGCGCGCTGCGGCCTCTGCGTGCAGTGTCGCGTTGGGAGGGTATGAGAGTAAGTAGTGAGCCGTGTTGCGCTGGGCCCTGGTTGTGGTGGTCTCCGTGGGTAGTTTCGCTGCTGCCCATGCTAGTCGACACCACCTATAACCCATAACACCGCCATAGTGGGTGATGACTGGACGCATGGGCAACGCTGCTGTTTTGTCAACCATCAGTGTTCGTTGAGCTGTGTCTGCCACCGCCACAACCCCGTTGTCTGGTGACCCTTGCCATTTTCTAAATGACTCATCTTGACTGTTTCATTCCCTCCTCGTCCTCGCTCCTTTTGGTTACTGTTTTAAAGAATTCTAGGACAACCCCTCTCTCTCCCCGGCTGGAATAGTTTGTGAAATTGTGCAATCTTTGCCCTTTGTTTCTTCTTCTTTTCTTTATATTCATCATTCCTCTGTTATTCAAGCATATCTTTCTCATTCCTCAGTAGCCATAGATGACTCCCTCTTCACGACTCGAAGCTTTCCTTGCCACCCATACTTGACTTCCCTAATTATCACCATTCTTCGTTGTTTTCTCAGTCCTTTATCATCCTAATTGTCCTCCCGAACCCCAGTCTCCCCTACACATTTCTCTTCTAACTCTCTACGCTCAATATTGTCCTCCCCAACTCACACAGCTATCTCCTAACATCCACAACTGTATATCGGGTAGATCCTCAACAGCCATAGGAGTACCCCTGAATATTCGCTAACTCCAGTTGTCCTTTCTAACTCCCTCGATTGATTTCTTCAACCTCGGTCTCTACCAGTTCAGCTTTCAGGGCCAAAAGTCCCCACTTATCCATTTTGTTCCCTCGTTATCTTCTTTGCGGTGATCCCAAACACCTTATTGACGTCTTTCTTCTAACCACCATAGTTTTTATCACCAACGCCCATCTTCTCAATGTTTCCTCTTCAAGACCCCATCATCTCAGGTTTATTTCATTTCTCCACCACCTCCGAATGTTAAGGGCATGGTAAAATAGCCGGTGGTTGTGGCGGTAATGTGTCTAACTAATATCTTCCCCTGTAGTGTACGATGTTGGCCGGTGGCGTGCGTGCCGTATGTGTTCATACTTCTACTGTAGTGAGCGCAAATCTCTTCCTGTCTCTCTATTTCCTGTGTGTAACTCTTGTGGGCTCTGATTTCCAGGTGTCCTTGATTAACCTTGTGGCAACCCTGGCTGGAGCAGGCAAAATTCAGGCTTTCAAAACGATGAGAACGCTGCGCGCTCTGCGACCCCTGAGGGCCCTGTCCCGTATGCAAGGCATGAGGGTAAGTGGTGCCCTCCCGCAGCAGCCATGTCCCAGCAGGTGCTGCACCGCGCATGACCCCCACCTGCCACATGACCATGTAGGCTACCTACTCCAGCAACCCAGCACCCACCCCAATACTTCCCAGATTGAGGTGGCGGAGCCTCTTAGAGGTGCTGCTGGAATCTTGCCGCCGCCCTCACCACTTGTCATACTCGCGTTAACTTATCCACCCTATGCCTGCCCACTTCTCCCACGGGGCTTGGTAACCGGGAGACTGCGGGACTGGCTGGACTGGACTGGGTATAAAATCAATTTGCCTTTATCAGACTCTTTCAGTGCCATGCAAACGGATTAGCGGCCATTAGAAGGCGAAAATAACCATAAATCTTGGGTCAAACAGTCCCGACGCATGCGAACTGGGCATGTAATTGCATGGGTCTCAATTCAAATATCGCATGAGTAAAATTTTTCCATTGATTCATTTTTATAAATGCTGTGACACAAAACCACAAAAGAAGAATAAAGTTTCAAATACACTTGAACTGATTGTGTGAGACGAATTTTCATTGATTAATAAACTGAAGCACAAATACTGGTTGAAGTCCTTCAACTGGCACTAACACATACTGTACAGCATTAGCTGAGGCACACTGCCCTTACCACGCTAGACAAAAGTTCACTCGCAGGTGTTATTACAAACTTGATGAACCCTGACAAATTGTATACAATAGTTAAGTTAACAGAGATTATACGCGTAACAATCTTTTTACTGTTTGCTAATATATATTTTTAGTGGTTGGTAACCTCACCATCCCATCTTTCACATCTAAATGTCTAGACGACTGCACCTAAACGCCACACAGAACAATACTATCACTCACTTTTATTTTAGTTCCTGGACTCTTTCACAGATATGACATATACAGTAACTAGTTGGTCAAGAAATCTTTATAAGGATGATGAAAAAATGAAGAAAAAAAGTCTGGCACTGAAGTTAGCAAAATCGCCCGATGTCAATTTCTCTTTATTGCACAAAAAAGTGAACAATAATCCCAGAGAGAAAAGCACTGGAGTTTCCTTAAGTTCATCTAAGTTGAAGCACCAGTAGCGCCTTTACTACTTTCAACAATTTACTGCATGTATCAACTGCCTGCACTTGTCGTATGCTTTCCCTGTTTTCCTTCTAATTTATTGGCCTTACGTTGATACCTGGATATTTACTTTTACATCAGTCTCTTTGTCTTGTGCCAACTATTCACTAACAAGTAACAAGTAAATAGTGTAGCCTCGCACTGGCATGGCTTTATTGTTGTTCCAGAGTTTATATTTAATTGCAGATATTCTACTTGTTTTATAATGGTCATAGAATCACTTTTTGTAAAAACTTTTGATTGACTAGAGGCTCAGAGCAGAGACTTCCCAAGGCCCGTAACATTAAGACGGAGGACACATGCATCAAGGTGCTTTCATAACCAGTCCCATAGATTAATCTCAAGTTAGAGGTGAGTATTTTAGACTTTAGAAATGGCATTCTATATATTAAGTTATGCTTCAGTCTATTAGGATGAACTAAAAGATCTCTTACTGGACTTGTGGTTGCTAATTAAATTATGTATTATGAGATATCGGTATCCAAGATGAAGTTATTGTTTAGACAAGGAAGTCTACGAGTGGCAATACAGTACGTGGTTCTTATCTCTATGTTATGGGTCTTCCGTAGTTTCAACTCTCCTCCTAATGGTTAGGATTTCAGACTTTGGGACATTTTGTCAAATTATATATTGTGGAAACTGAAAACTTAGTGTGATAGGCTTGTTCTATCAAAGTATAATTTACAAAGTTTGCAGTTCATAGTTTCATTAATTATATTTCTCTCTTTATTAACATGATCAGTTTAAAGTGAAGTTTTTTTTGTTTCATCTTATTTTGAAATGTTTTTATGGATGTTCTTTCTCCATATCTCACCATGGCTCATAATGTTCTCTATTTAGTTAATATTCTGGACTCTAACACATTGTTAAATTAATGTTTATTTCATATTACCAATTTATTTCTATTTCGTCTTTTAATTTTTTAGTTTATTACAACTATTATTTACCTTTAACTGGTGTTTAAATTTTGTTTAGTTTTTTCGTTTTATATTCGTTCATTTTCACTCATCCTGTTGCATTTTCTTCCGGTATATTTAATTTTTCTTATCATTTCATTCCAGCCATTTTCTTTTTATTAATATTGTTATACTGTTTCTTTTTTTTCGTTGATGCGCCATAATTCGTGATATAATTCTTTCACGGTTTATATCCTGTTTCCTATAATTCCTGGTATAATTCTTCCATGGTTTATCTCCTGATCCCTTATACTGCTTCTTCCATTCATTTTTACTTTCATAATTATTTCCAGGGGCAATTGCTTGTCATTTTTGCTCCTTAATCCGATTTAACCTATTCGTCCATCCATCTGATAAAATAAGATCTGTGGATTAGGTTTATTTTCTGCCTAATATGTCTGATAATCTTGACATAACACTCTGCTGCTTAAGTTTATATTCGTTCCAGGAGGTATGTTGCATCTTTTTCATTATAGTGTTAATTTTATTGTTACTTTCTGTGTTAATCGCAATACTGACATTAAAAATACAGTTGAAAAATCTATCTTTTTAATTCAATTTTTCCATCTTCTAAAAAAAATTAATCGCTTTTAAATATTAGTCATCTACCTATTAATAACATATCTTTAGGGATTCCCGGCATTTTTTTATTTTTCTACAGTCAAATACTTTTAGATTCCCTTATTTTACTATGGTTCGTTAACTTATATTGTCCCATGTTGGTGTCTTTCCATTCTGCGCCGAGACAGTATCCTAGTGCAATGTTCCCGTGTCGCCAGCCAGCCTTGTTAAGTCCTCTGTCAGTGGCGAACTTTGTTATATCTTCTGAAAAACAATGAATCTTCTGCCATTATAAAGTCATAAATCATATGTAACTTTAACGTGTATTAACGATTAGGCAGAAAGGAGTGGTGGTGGTGAGGTGTGTCCCAGTAACAGAACACCCGGTACACATTGTCAATATACGTCCAGATACTCATAAGGTGTTTCTATTCCTGTTTTGTTGTTGTCATTAGATAATATTACACCAATAGCAGTGTTTTAGAGTGTTGGTTCTTTTCATTAGTGATTATGACATTCAACCAATCTGCATTCTTGGAAAAGTACAGATATAAACGCTTGTCAAAAAGTATAAAATGTATGCACTAACGTCTGTCAAAAGTATAGAAATGTATGCATTACTGTCGACCCAGTTTTTTCAGTAAGTTAATCTTCCAAGAACAGCTAGAATGCTGCTGGTGACCGAATAACTCAAATGTTATGGTCTTTACCCACTGCTCAACATAAGCGATATATAGCACACAACGTAATATGAATTAGTAAATGATTTTCTCATTGTCTTTTATATGTGCTGTAACAAGTAGACAAACTATGAAAGTAAACACATCAACAACTTAACTAAGGTTGAATTAAGCCAACGTAGTCTAACTAAATTAACTAAGCTTAACCGCAACTAACCTGACCTCTCCAAACGTATATAAACACAGCTTTATCAATGATGGGTCGAAGTTTGACCATTAGAATACCACTTACACATAAGCTAGTGAGAATAATCGACTTGGTTTATATATTACTGAATGTACTGTATAGAATTTCTCGGAACTGGAAACAAATGTCATACTTCTTCTTCCATCTTTAATGTTTTGAGCGACATACTGTAAACACTGGTGTAATAAGAAATTTACTGGATATAGTATAAACAATATTAATGTGATAAATGGCATATAATGGATGTTGAGGCGCAGAAGTACAGTACAGTACGTGAACGCTCCTCCTTCACAATGTACCTTAAACTCTTTAATTTATGAAAGTAAACCACATCTTCAACCTAATTTTCCTTGTGGATTTTCATCTTATTAATCCTCCATAACTTCACGAGGTACAGTCTTCTAGCCCTCACTCACTAAGTACTATCGCTGTTTATATGTCCATACCGTTAATGACAAATTGTTTTCTTGGGGAACAGGTATGTGTATGTAACACCATTTTGGCTGGACTTCCCTGGTACAGGTATAGTGACTCCCTCTATTACAGGTGGTGGTGAACGCCCTGGTTGGAGCCATCCCATCCATCGTCAACGTGCTTCTTGTCTGTTTAATCTTCTGGCTGATTTTTGCCATCATGGGTGTGCAACTCTTCAACGGCAAATACCACAAAGTTAGTATCATTACTCTACATCACACTCACCACAATTTTTTTCCACTGGGACAATACCTTCTACCACACATCATGCCCGTTACTGTTACATAATTATGGTAAAAAGAAAACTCTCTCATTCCGTAACCAAAACCAAATTCGCTGTATCTGTGTTTCATAAAGTCAATACACTGTAACATACATACTTTTATATTGCTATTGGAGCCAATGATAATCGACGACTATCATCATGGCTGGCCTTAGGATAAAAGGAGTGTGTTTAAACTGATGAACATAAAAACAAAATATCTCAGTCTCTTGACGAAAGACCACCTGGAGGGATTGATGCTGGTGTGTTTGTGTGTGTTAGAGATTGCTGTCACACCCGCAGATGTCACAAAACTAACATGCGATCCATCACTAGTACACATACGAGACATAGAGTTGGTATTATAGTAAACAGAGAAATACGTGGGACTGAGTAAAGTAGATTACCGAAGTGAGAGAATTATGAGTTATATCTGTAAAGTTGCGTGAGTTTAAAATAAGTTTAGTCCAAATTTGTAGATTTTTTTGTTACTGATGGGCAAAATAAAAGAGAGTTTTAGAATATAAAAATAATTATATAATAGAAGGTGACTTAAGCATCATGTGTTACAAGAAAAAGAAGAAATCGAAAATGTAATTGGAATTTTCAGTGTTGGAAATAAAAATAAGGGAAAACAACTAATTGCTTTTCGTGTGCAGAACCAAGTAATACATTTTATCAACACCAGGAGAATCATATATGGATTTGGTATGTTTGAAGTTGTAACGGATAAACATATACTGTTTCATTGTAGCATAATAAGCAACCAAGAATAACATTTATTACCGAAAATTTTGAAGACCGAAGATACGTTGATTAATTTATGTAAAAATATCAATATTTGGTGTTCTATTTTTCTTTCTTTTTTATTGTTAGCTGTTTCTGTTATTCAGTCCTGGTGTTACTATGCAGGATTTCTTAATATATATATCTTCTTTATATCCACATAACTTTTTTGCATATACTCTGGGCTTGATTTTAATGTTTATATGGGCAGTGTATTGATGATGACGGACTACGGGTCAACGCTGAAGAAGTTCCGAACAAAGACAAGTGCATAGCCGACAACTTGACGTGGGAGAACAGCGAGGTGCACTTCGATCACGTTGGCATGGCTTACCTTGCCCTCTTCCAGGTCGCAACTTGGAAAGGATGGATCCAAATCATGAACGACGCTATCGACTCTACTCAGGTTTGATGGCGCAGAATTTTTTTACTTTCCAGTGATTTCTTTTTTGATTTACGGCCTTCAAGACTCAAATTAATTGCTCTTAGTTAACTTGCATCTAAGATTAAAGGTTCTAAACTGGTGAGATGTAAGTATTAGTTTGTATGATGGATGAGAGTTGTTGATTTGAGTATACCCACAGTTGGAAGCGCAACCCATGCGAGAAGTCAACCTGAACATGTACCTCTACTTCGTCTTCTTCATCATCTTCGGTTCATTCTTCACTCTCAACCTCTTCATTGGTGTCATCATCGACAACTTCAATGAACAGAAAAAGAAGATAAGTATTAAAAATCGAGTAACACTGAATAGAAAATAGGAATATTATGAATAGTATTAGATTATTCAAACAGATGTACAGTATAGTCGGCCAAAGGGTATTCGCTTTCTGAGAACAGTACTGTATTGACTTTCCTTGTATTCTTCTGCGTTAGTTGACACGCAGGCAATCAAAGAAAGAGTACGGAAAGAGATGCAAGAAAAAATACTAAAGACATGAGAATAATCAATGTAACATTACACGGAAATGAATGAACGAAGATATGACTCACCTTCCACTAGGGATTGTCAAAAAAAAAAGGAAGAAATATTTAATGATAGTGAACTAACAATTTCAATGACTTGCCATGTTATTGGGACATATTACTCCACGTTACATAGATAATTACCCTCCACAGACTGATAAAAGTATAAACGCTTCTTCCTTGATATTTTACGTAACATGACCAGAATTCCTTCTTTTCTTTCATATTCTTATTCTACTACCACTAGGAGGTGATATAGCATCCATTATTGAAGCCCCTTCGAAACTAAAAAAAATAAATAAATAAATACTGTGATATCACTTACGATTTTATGAATATCTTGCTGCAACAAAGAGTAGACAATTAAGAAAATAACACAGGAAGGATGTGTTAAATTGCCACTTAATAATATCTCTTGCAAGGGAAGAATATCACAAACAAATTGGTGTTGCAGGAAAAACAATGCCACACAATTTGTCTTCTGTTTCATTTGTTCTTTTTATTCATGTCATACCAATACATTTTTGGCCGACTGTGTACTCAGCGTTAGGTTTTTGTTACTTTACACAAATATGTAATTAGCTGTCAATAAATATTTACATTATGTTTATGAAAAGATATTAACATAAAATACATTGAGAGGAATACAAAGTAAAGAGTGAAGCCCGCACTGAGAACACACTGTACCTTCCTACCACAACTACTATACCACCTCCACCAGAAGCTACTTCCCACACTCTCTCGTGTTTACCTTCCCCATCTCCAGCTCAACCACAACCCCAATAGCTAACTCTAACCACCAAGATCATCTCCCAACACCTTTGTACCGATCTCATATGTACAGTCGCCTGCACTTATACCTGTCACAGGGACTGGTATGCTTTGTGAGATGTGGCAATGATGTGGAATGCTTATCTAGTATCCTTAGTCTGGCTACTATTGTGAGGTTCCTTAGGGCCATTCCAGGGAGTTTTAATACGATGTAAACAAATACAGAGGTGCCACATCTCACCAAGTGCACCAGCCACTGTGCCAGGTATAAGTGAAGGTGACTCTGGTTTCACTCTTGCATTTATATCAACAGTGGTCCTCTCCTTACCTCACCTTCACCTACCTTCACATTATAGCACCTCACCTTCACCTACCTACACACTATATGCCCCTTTACATTTCTAACCTTCTTCTATAAATTTTCATTCAATCCTGCCTGTACATAATGGTCCCTCAGCTGTTGAAACAAGTGTGAGAATCAGCAATGATATTCAGGTGTATTTCTCTTTGTGTTCTGGTTTAGTGGACTTACTTTCGTCTAGTCTAAGTATCTCGTAGAATAATAATATGATCGAAGCATTTGAAAGTTTCTAGGTTGATTTTTAGCAACAATTCAGGTTATCATTAGTGATACAGTCCCCTTCACTGGTACGTTTACAGGGGCTCGTCATATAAACATTCCATAAATCATTCTTTGAGATATTTGTTTTAATGTTGTTTAAATTTGATTACATAGTATGTTTACTATTGGGAGTTTCCTTCTGTCAAATGTAAACAAACACAGGCCTGCCACACTGCACAAAACCTGACGAGCCCCTGTAAATGCGCTAGTGAAGTCCCGACTGTACATCCTTAAGCAAGAGGAAGTGGAACGCGAGGTATCCATGAACTGCCATTTGAATGTGGTTTTTTTTTTTGCGATATCCAGGCTGGAGGATCACTCGAGATGTTTATGACAGACGACCAGAAGAAATACTACAATGCCATGAAGAAAATGGGAAGCAAGAAACCGCTGAAGGCCATCCCACGGCCACAGGTAGAGTGTTTCAGGCCCTCATCACCCCCCCCCCCCTGTTCATTTACACTCATCTCTCACTTTTACATTATAGTTTGTGACATTCATCCGTTTTATTGTTCAGACGTATGAAGATAGTATTCTTTTTCATATTTATTTAGCTCTCTTGCTGGAGCTTTATACTTTAGACTTATACAAATATATTCCTAGAATAGACTTTAATAGTGATATACTGTACATATAATCCTAATATATACTGTAGAATCACTTTGGAATGGAACACACACACACACACACACACACACACACACACACACACACACACACACACACACACACACACACACACACACACACACACACACACACACACACACACACACACGATAATGAAACTCGGACGTGACCAAATATTTTGTTTATTTCATGACGACACTTTGGCAACAGTCTGTCCCCGTCACCAGACAAACTCTGAAACAATCAACTCATTAAGTAATAAGAACTCAGTTATGTACAACTATGTTCTTGAGCCATGTATAGTTTTGTTGTATCCCTGATGATGGTGATAGAGAGATGTTATGTCAAGTGCTGGTCTCATTATAAATAACTTTGAAACAATGAATTATTTAATCTACACAGTGAAAATATACTTATGAATTAACCGGCCCAGTGTAGAACGTACCTGTACCATATTCATATGAGGGGAATCCCACTACATGAAATATTTCCAAAGAATTGACAACATATTACCAGTTCTGTTTTAATACGTGTTTTCACAATATTATATTTGGATTTAGGTTCAGGAAGGTAAATTATAATTTAGATATTTTTATAGTAGTCCTAAACGCACAGTCTACGTAGTATATTATAATGTACTTCATAGACGGCATTTCTATTTCCACCATATAATTGTTTCCAATTCACTCCATGGCCCACTCACCGCACCTCCATCATCATCCCCAACTAATGAAAACATTTCAATGGTATTTTCAGGCTTCTTGTATGTTGCTCAGTGTGAATTACTGTGTGCCTCCTCCAGCCCGCCCAAGACAAGAGTTCGCATAAACGCTTACTCAACTTACTTCCTTTTTACAATATGCCCCGAAGCAAGTGGTGTTCCCCGTCCTCCCCTTCCTTCCATATGGAATGTACTCTCCCGGTGTCTTCCAAGTAATCCCAATTTCCTACCCTATTACCAAAGTGAAATATTACCATCACAATCTCCCAATTTGAAGTTTTCCTCCCCTTCCGATTTCCTTGGTCATCTCCTCGGCCCCTCCTAGCGTCACCACCACTACAACGGTCTCTCAACTCAATTTCCCCCGGAAAAAATCAGCCCGCCCCTCACCAGAGGTCGTGGTCGGTGCTGTATAAAGAAACGCTTTGTCCGCACCTCTTAACCTCGGCCCAAAACCTCGCAACCATGCTCTACCCAGCCTGCTTATACCATTACCAGTGTCAGGAATCTTTTAGCACGCCCTATAAACCACATATGTCTTTTATCAAGCTCCACAGTTCTTGAATATCTTACTATGTTCACTACATTACATGGATATTTCGTTATGCTACACACACACACTTCCATATTTCTTATAATTCTTACCTCACTATTTGGGTACAGTATTGTATGCACTCAACACAGTACTTGGTACAGTATTGTATGCACTCAACACAGTACTTGGTACAGTATTGTATGCACTCAACACAGTACTTGGTACAGTATTGTATGCACTCAACACAGTACTTGGTACAGTATTGTATACACTCCACACAGTACTTGGTACAATATTGTATACACTCAACACAGTACTTGGTACAGTATTGTATGCACTCAACACAGTACTTGGTACAGTATTGTATACACTCCACACAGTACTTGGTACAATATTGTATACACTCAACACAGTACTTGGTACAGTATTGTATGCACTCAACACAGTACTTGGTACAGTATTGTATGCACTCAACACAGTACTTGGTACAGTATTGTATACACTCCACACAGTACTTGGTACAATATTGTATACACTCAACACAGTACTTGGTACAATATTGTATACACTCAACACAGTACCTGGTACAGTATTGTATACACTCCACACAGTACCTGGTACAATATTGTATACACTCAACACAGTACCTGGTACAGTATTGTATACACTCCACACAGTACCTGGTACAATATTGTATACACTCAACACAGTACCTGGTACAGTATTGTATACACTCAACACAGTACTTGGTACAGTATTGTATGCACTCAACACAGTACTTGGTACAGTATTGTATGCACTCAACACAGTACTTGGTACAGTATTGTATACACTCCACACAGTACTTGGTACAATATTGTATACACTCAACACAGTACTTGGTACAGTATTGTATACACTGAACACAGTACTTGGTACAGTATTGTATACACTCCACACAGTACCTGGTACAATATTGTATACACTCCACACAGTACTTGGTACAATATTGTATACACTCAACACAGTACTTGGTACAATATTGTATACACTCAACACAGTACCTGGTACAGTATTGTATGCACTCAACACAGTACTTGGTACAGTATTGTATACACTCAACACAGTACCTGGTACAGTATTGTATACACTCCACACAGTACTTGGTACAATATTGTATACACTCAACACAGTACCTGGTACAGTATTGTATGCACTCAACACAGTACCTGGTACAGTATTGTATGCACTCAACACAGTACTTGGTACAGTATTGTATACACTCAACACAGTACTTGGTACAATATTGTATACACTCAACACAGTACCTGGTACAATATTGTATACACTCCACACAGTACCTGGTACAATATTGTATACACTCAACACAGTACCTGGTACAGTATTGTATACACTCCACACAGTACTTGGTACAATATTGTATACACTCAACACAGTACCTGGTACAGTATTGTATGCACTCAACACAGTACTTGGTACAGTATTGTATGCACTCAACACAGTACTTGGTACAGTATTGTATACACTCCACACAGTACTTGGTACAATATTGTATACACTCAACACAGTACCTGGTACAGTATTGTATGCACTCAACACAGTACTTGGTACAGTATTGTATGCACTCAACACAGTACTTGGTACAGTATTGTATGCACTCAACACAGTACTTGGTACAGTATTGTATACACTCCACACAGTACTTGGTACAATATTGTATACACTCAACACAGTACCTGGTACAGTATTGTATGCACTCAACACAGTACTTGGTACAGTATTGTATGCACTCAACACAGTACTTGGTACAGTATTGTATGCACTCAACACAGTACTTGGTACAGTATTGTATACACTCAACACAGTACTTGGTACAGTATTGTATACACTCCACACAGTACCTGGTACAATATTGTATACACTCAACACAGTACTTGGATCTCTTCATGGTAAAGACATTAGTTTTATCTTTTATCACAGTAAGCAAAATACTTGACTCTCTAACCTTGCTCACGTTATACAGATATAATTGCAAACTAGCAATTATTTCTTTGTCGGTTTCTGTCTTCTTTTTGTGTGTGTATTCAAACTGGTCTGTATATAATGTAGGGGCTGGCAAGTAGACCACTATAAAGATATACATGAATAGCATCATTATTAACTTAACCAAACGTGTCCTCTTTCAGCTATATAGTTTAATCGCGTTATAAATATCGAGCCAATTTTACCTAATATAAACAAATTCCATTAAGTTATAGTAGCAAACTTACAGCTCTCCCTAGTTGGTGAGGTTTCGGTTGTGTTTTGAATCTTAATGAGGCTATTCCCAGTTTAATTTTCTCGTGACACACACACAATATATATATATATATATATATATATATATATATATATATATATATATATATATATATATATATATATATATATATATATATATATTGCAAGAAGTGGAAGGTCTGCTGATAATGGCATGAGCTCAAGAAGTTCCCGTATTCACTACCAGTAGTCACCAGTAGTCTGCAGTTCACTCTGGTGCAAACATTAAGAATCATGCGGATATTTTTTCAGCTTCATTCGACTACACGGACAGGTTGCATGTATCTCTTTACCAGGCTGCAAGTCACACTGAACTCACATAAGGTGACTACTAAACAACCTTATCCCTAAGTATAATATTCAATTAAATCTAAGATTAACGATGTTTATAGCCTAATATACCTACTGTAGATGGTTGATACAAAGATCATATGAAGTTAAATTAAAAATATTAAATGTTTGATCAACGATCAAGAGTACACAGTCTAATTATGCATATTTCATTAGAAGTCTAAGGGAACATGCAACAGTGCATGAATTTTATAACAAATAGTTCAGAATATTTAACAAATATCATTGGAGCAGCAATATGGTAACACGTATTCCAGATTTGAACATAAGGTTCCTTATTATGTGTTCAATTGTCATTGTTTAATTTTGTTATAATAATTTATGTTAAACCGACTTATCATAATATGAGGCATGTACAGTGTTTGTTGGGTATGACACGCAGTACTTAGGATACTCTATAATACTTCACAAATAAAGTTAATCCCTGTCACAAGACTTATTGTATGATGCTAATCGAATGGTCACTTTCTCAATTATTTAACTGTACTAATTATTTCTCGTGGTAGAAATATTGCCAAGGTTTAACAAATCACCTGAATTAAAAAACCACAATAATCGATATTTGAAAGATTTTTGATACCGTTAACAAAATGGCAGGAGAGGATCGGGCCAGTGTAAGCGAGTGAGTTATCATTGGGTACAGAGGTTAGGAGGTGAGGACGCAAGGAGTGTGGTGTGTATTCGACCTTCATATTGGTGAGGCGGGTTCACACCTCGATACTTCCTTTCTGTTGAACTATCTAGTTGATCTCTGATCTCAATATTTACGGCTTCTCCTAATATGTCAAAGTATGAACCAAACCCCAACCCTTCCCAAACAAAGTCGCTGAGTTTAATCCCAAGGCTTGTCTGTATTGTAATTCATCGTTTCCCTATTTTTTTATTCATTTTCATTCCTATTGCTTCTTACCTCTCTCTCCCTCTCTCTCTTCCAAGTTTATTTGATTTCATTATTCCTCATCATCTGCTTTTCCTTGAATTACTGAAATTATAACTTTCACAACTTTTAAATCCTAATTCTTATTGGCTGAATATTTGAATCTTATTGTTTCATAAGTAGTGTGTGTGTGTGTATGTGTGTGTCCAGGGAGAGACATACATTGTATCTTTGCATTATTATTTCTCCTGACATACCGGACTCACACATGCCATAATAAGGCTCAAATATCAGTCGGTAAATAACAGTGACTAAGACAGTATTACTTAAGCAATGTAATATAACAGTGGTGAATATTATTATATTTAACACCTAACGAAAAAAAAAATCCTCCTATAAATCTTCTTCATTAACGTACTAGATATGCATGAAATAGCCGCCGGTCCAACCCGTAATTAATTCCCCTTTCATTTGCCTTATGTAAACCTTGGCATTCTGTATTATTATGAGGGCATAGTATTAATACCTGAATACATGTACTTCACTAGATGTGAGAGTTCCTCATTGCCCAGTGGGATATACAGTATATTTTCCCTTACATTATTCCCAAGCCTCAAACACAATATACATTATCCTTAACTTTTCAATAATCATCAAACTCTTTTTCTTTTTCCTTAACTGAACTAAAGAAATGCCGCTTTAACCCTGTTTCCTTGTATATTTTTTGTTTTATTATTCATCCATTATTTTGTTTGTGATCCTGCGAATCAATTCAGCAACTACTTTCCTTTTAATGCTTATTGTTATTCTCGGCAAAACGCATTATTATCTCCTCATGCCTGTGATTGAACTCAGTAGATTCACTTCTTCACGTGTGTCATTGAGCTCAGCAGTCATCCCCCCTCCCCGTTCTCTTGTCTCTTGTATAGTTCCGCCCACAAGCCGTGGTGTTCGAGATAGTGACTAACAAGAAGTTCGACATGATCATCATGATTTTCATCGGTATGAACATGCTCACCATGACAATGGATCACTATCGAATGTCAGAAGAGTGGAAAACAGTGTTGAACTACATGAATCTCATCTTTATCTGTATCTTCACGTCGGAGTGTGTGCTCAAGGTTTTCGCACTCAGATGGCACTACTTCAAGGAGCCTTGGAACCTCTTCGACTTTGTGGTGGTCATCATGTCTATTCTGGGTAAGATATGTCATACCCATCACACATGTCACTGTATAACTTGTTTTTTCTGTTTTCCAGTATTAACATTATCTGTGTCCTCCATATGGGTCTCGTTCAAGAACTGGTGGATGACCTCCGAGGATGGTGTAGGAATTAACCAGTTGGCTACTCCTCCCTGCTAACATCACGTCAAAAGAATATTAGTTCACTTCCATAACTGTACACTAATCATTCGTTGATGCCATATAGGTATTGTATGTAGAACACTTAGTGACTTTTCAAACTTTAGATGGACTTAAACAGAGATACAGTAGTCGTGTGTCACTCTGGAGCCATCAACTTCACTTGTGTATCTGCCTACTGAGATTTACTGAATAGACAAAGTTCTCCGTCAAATTTTCTTTACAATTACAATCAATTTGTTGATGTTGATGTTAATGTGTTGGTGCTATAATGTATTACCGCGCTTCAACAACTAGGGTCTTGAAGCACGTATTCTAGGTAAGTAAATACACTACAGTTCATCAACAACCGAATATTAAGAGAGATGATTCCTTCTGAATGTCGAGATGGAAAAACGGAGTTGAACAGTTGAAATTGCGGGAAAGTACTTGGAATATGCAAGCAGAAGCTGTGATCAATTTACTTTATTAAACCCCCTGTTTAGTGAACAAGACACGCGTATAGTCCTTCTCTTAGTTGCATTGCTATAATACCATCTACAACTCGAGGGTCATAGAAATAATGACTTTAGTGACTGGCTAGTTTGTTTATTGCTCCATCACAGTTATATATATATATATATATATATATATATATATATATATATATATATATATATATATATATATATATATATATATATATATATATATATATATATATATATATATATATTTATATTTATATAAACAAACCGTCAATTATTTTTCTATTGTAAGTTGACAACTCGCAATTTCTATTTTTTTCTACATCATTCAGAATTGTTCCCCTGCATAAAGTGTAGCACAGTATATATAGCAAAGATATTACTTAATGTTATAACAATCTTATTGCCCTTTTAAGTTTGACTAAGGTCAGGGATTGAGAAGATTTTATTTAGACAATATATATTATGTGGCGGCTAATTTCTTCAGGATGAATAACTGCACCAACGTATGGATAAACAGCTACATTTATATGGTAACGTTTCAACAAATCTCTTGTCATCATCAAACCTTACTTTTACTTTTACTTTTATCTCTTCGCCACTGATCGGCTCTTTAACCGCTTGGGCGATCGGCCACGTCTTTGTTAAGCACTGTTGGCAAGTACTGGGCATGCACCGGCTCCTGAATATATCGGAACCTGCTCCAGTGTTGGTCAAGTCTGGCCTTGATTGAGCTCACACGCGGTGCCGTCACAACACTCTCCGGCAGATTGATCCAAGAGTTCACAATTCTCACTCCAAAAAAAATTTCCCTCAGTTTTCTGGACTTGTGGCTTCTTCAACCTTGAGCTGTAACCCCTTGTGGGGCGGACGTTCGTAAACTCCAGATATGTACATTCGATTGAAGAGTGCCCCCTAAGATGTTTATAAACTTCGATTAGGTCTCCCCTAGCCCGTCTGTAGTATAAGTTAGGTAGTTGCAGGCATTCTAATCTCTCTGGATAAGTGAGGTTCCATAGAGCAGGCACCAGTCTGGTGGCCCTCCTTTGGACATTTTCAATCAATTGACAGTCTCTAGCATACCTCGGGGACCAGACGGGGTGATAATACATAAAACAAAACAAATACAATTAATAGAATAAGATAAATAAATCACTAATTACATTGAGAGAACAGTTATTAATTATTAACCTTTACTGTAATTTAACCATTCAGAGTAACACCACTAGAAGTATCGAAAGCTTAAATCCTACAAAGATAAGCACATATGTTACAACAACCAAGAACAAAACATACCCGTTAAAAACAAAGTAATGAAGGCATGAGTGCGTAGTACTGGCTGTACTCGGTGGGTGAGGAGCGACTCTGCTGTGACGTGTCATATCGTCGGGGCAAGTGAGGAGGTTGGTTGGTGATATGGAGAGAAGAGAGTTTCATCTTTTATCTTTAGTTTGATTCTCTAGACAATTCTTACAAGTGTCAATGGTAAATCCCAAAATGTTCAAGTCAAAAGTGATCCACCGATTTACGTGTGATTCGACTTTTACGGTACAGAATATGTTTTAAAAGTACAAATTCATTGAGTCGCTGAAGAATATTCTGATGATATTCGTTTGAGATTAATGGAACATGAGTGATTTTGCTATTTTTTTTTTTTTCCTGAAACAAAAAAGATCAAAGAGACCATAAAATTGAAACATAATTTATCAAACATCTTTTAGGAACAATTGCAACTTGCTATTCGAAAGTTGCCGTTGTTATGGTGGGACTGAGGACGCTTTAGGTGCTTTACTCATACGTCCAAAACAAGAGAGTCATCTTAACCAGTAGATGTTATTATATATATTTGAACCGGGAATATGTTTGAACGTTCCTTTACGCCGTTCCTCAATCCTTCCGTTAATGCACACAAACTTATTTGGACAAGAACTTCAGACTTATTATGGATATTTCACGATTTTTTTTTTTCGTAGAGTCTTTACAAGTCATCAGATTGAAATTATTATTGTGACAATCATCTTAAAAACTATTACCTAATTACCTTGCAACTTGATAAAAAGTTTTGTCATCCATTATTGAATGTGACTGAAGATTGAAATAGTAAGGATGATGCTAGTTGGTGGACACATGTGTTTAATGTAAGCCAGTGCATAGCTCCCCAAGCTCAGTGCCATTCAAACACAATTACTATTATGTCAGTTACATCATTGCACGTTCCTGTGGTTTGAATGATCTTATTTTGCTTCCTTTGTCATAAAGAAAACATTGTTCAAGTTATTGCTGGTGGTGCTGCATCACATAAGCTGTGGCTGGTGGTGCTGCATTACATAAGCTGTGGCTGGTGGTGCTGCATCACATAAGCTGTGGCTGGTGGTGCTGCATCACATAAGCTGTGGCTGGTGGTGCTGCATCACATAAGCTGTGGCTGGTGGTGCTGCATCACATAAGCTGTGGCTGGTGGTGCTGCATCACATAAACTGTGGCTGGTGGTGCTGCATCACATAAGCTGTGGCTGGTGGTGCTGCATTACATAAGCTGTGGCTGGTGGTGCTGCATCACATAAGTACTAATTTGTTTTGGTGTAATAGAAACAGCAACATGGAAAATATTGCGAGAGTCCATCATAATTTCCAAAATTGGAAATATAAGTGAAAACACAAACATACTCACCAGGTACTACGTTAGAGTATTATGCTAAGGTATACATAAAAAGCATCCCTGGTATTATTGGATGAGTAACGTGCTATCTTCCACAGGCTTGGTGCTGAAGGACATCATCGAAAAGTACTTCGTATCGCCAACATTGCTTCGTGTGGTTCGAGTGGCGAAGGTGGGCAGAGTCCTGCGTCTGGTGAAAGGCGCCAAAGGCATCAGAACACTCCTCTTCGCCCTTGCCATGTCCCTCCCTGCTCTCTTCAATATCTGCCTCTTGCTTTTCCTCGTTATGTTCATCTTTGCAATCTTCGGTATGTCTTTCTTCATGAATGTAAAACACACTGGCGGTCTGGACTCCGTGTACAACTTCGAGACATGCTTCAAGTCTTTCATCTTGCTGTTTCAAATGATGACGTCTGCCGGGTGGGATAGTGTGCTTTCTGGCATTGTTAATGAAAAAGAGTGTAAACCACCAGATCCCGAGATCGGCTACCCTGGCAACTGTGGCAGCCAGGCTATTGGCATCGCTTATCTTCTAGGCTATCTTGTCATCAGCTTCCTCATCGTCATCAACATGTACATCGCTGTCATCTTAGAAAATTACTCCCAAGCAACGGAAGACGTGGAAGAGGGTTTAACTGACGACGATTACGACATGTACTACGAGATATGGCAACAGTTTGACCCTAAAGGAACACAGTACATTGAATTCCACACGCTGTCTGACTTTCTGGATGTACTAGAGGCGCCTCTTCAGATTCACAAGCCAAATAAGTACAAAATTGTGTCAATGGACATTCCGATTTGTAAAGGAGACCTTGTGTATTGCGTGGATGTTCTGGATGCGCTCACCAAGGATTTCTTCGCGCGCAAGGGTAACCCAGTGGAGGAATCAGCAGACATAGGTGAAGTAGCTCCTGCTCCTGATAGGCCAGGGTATGAACCTGTGTCATCCACGCTATGGCGTCAACGAGAAGAGTATTGTGCGCGACTCATCCAGCAGGCGTGGCGCAAACACCGTCAGCACAAGGATCAGTCATCTCTTTCCGGTGCCGAGTCCCAGGAAGAACTGAAGCAAGCAGACACTGCCGTCTTGGTGGAGAGTGATGGTTACGTCACAAAAAACGGCCATAAGGTGGTGATTCACTCGCGATCACCATCAGTGACGTCACGGTCCACTGACGTGTGACTAACGAAGGCGAGTAAATGAAGTTGTTGCTGCTTTTTAACTACACGGGCCGGTTGTTAATTAACACATGGCTCTGTTAACTCCCACATGGCTCTGGTATCAAGTACCACAGGAGCCGGTCGTTAACAAGCAAATAACGTCGTCAGTGTGGGGCTGCTGTCGCTACCACCGGCTTTGGTTGGGCCACTCCTGCTCGGGAACACCGCACTCTTAATGCCTTGTTGTTTAAGTTTACAGTCCAACTGTCCTCAGCTTCCCGACCCACGAGTGCCGCGCCCTCTGTGCAGAGATTATTGGCCTAAGTGATTCACCATATGTTTATTTTTGTATTTCATTTTCTAAATGGTTACTGGGCCATTGCTTACCCGACTTGGTACTGACGCTCGGCTCAAGTGAGGCTGGGTGCGCCTGGTCCTCATAACTTTCACTTGTTAGTTGGCGTGGAGGTGATGTGGAGCCTGATGACACTGCTGCCCCCACCCGCCCATAGCCGCCCACCCGCCCATGGCCGCCCACACACGCCCACGCTCACAGTATTGTTAACACCCGGTGTATGAAGCACCGACAACACCTCTTCCCTTCCCAGAGGACGGCCTAGGCGAGACTGCGTGCCAAGCCATAAACAGACAACGGCTGCCGTAGACGCCTCAGTAATCGCACTGTGGCACAGGGTGCAGCAGGAGTAAGCGGGCTACGCTAAGGCAGCGACCATGGCAGCCCAGGCGGGCGGAGTGCAGTGTCGCAGGTAATATGGAGAGGAACCCTTGTTATGTGCATATCCCACCAACAACAATACGAGTTCTCAACAAGTATTAAAGGAAACTTCTAACTGCATAATTATTACCCTCACATAAACTGTGTGTGATACACAAATGCCTTTACCCGAGTGCAAGCTGTGCATAATGCAAGTAGCGAAGTGCACAATAAGGTAGAACTTGTATTGTTAGCCTTCGTGTTTGCGGACAGCGCGCCACCCGGCCCCTGTGCCGCTCCACCTTGTCTCCGCAGGCAACCCTTCCCAAAGATTAGCTAACACCTTACCTTTACTTCCTTTCATCCATTCCTCCTTCTCGTCGCTGTTCACCCTGTCAATCGATTCCCTCATTTCTTGATCTTGCTTGCCCTTTTTGTTTTACTGGTCACAAATCCTTTTTCCTTGCTATCTATCACATAATTATATACTTTCAGTTTTCTATGCTACACTCTTCTCTTATTCCCTCTCATCCTTCAAGCCTCGCCTCCGGCTGGGCCGGGGGGGCGCGCATCCCCCTGTTATTGCCGCAGAACTTTCCACTAACTCTTAACTGTAGGATGTATTCATTCGTTACACTCTTTTATAAGCTTTAATACTCTTACTTGATATGTGAAATTACAGTGAGCTAGGGAAAAGCCAGGCCGGAGCCGAGCATGTGTCTCTACCTTTTGCGTGGAACCACCATTCCATTCACACTGATGCTCCTGTCCAACCTAACCATGCATAGGCTGGCTCAGTATGCTTCACAGTGGCTGTTTGTTCTGTACTAAACATTAGCTACCTAATCGTTAGGTTCTTGTGTTTTTCTCCTGTGGCATTACAAAAATCCGTTGGTCATGTCGAGGTCCATACACTGTGGCATCCACTATATTACCCTGATGCCAACCCTTCCCTTTGGCGTTATCTGCCCGTTGAGGCACCGTCCTTGCCTCTTAGCATCACCTCCCTACCCCCAACTCCACTTCTGCGGCTGATTCTCAATAAAGTCTCTCCCTGGCCACCTGACCTGCCTTTGACACAAAATGTACTCGGAAATTACCACAAGGCGCCGTATCAGGCCTGCCAAAGTTCATTAGTGTAATTGCTCATTTCCCATTTATTCCTGAGACACATATTGGCCCGTCCTTCCCCACACTAATGGGATGTCTCACCACCACAACCAAGTGTCTCCTGGGATGTGGCCTTACTAACTACCATCCTACATTTCTATGCCTAAAAAATCAGTTACATCATTAGTTATTCGGTAACATATCTTTTACCAGTATAATAATCACTATAAATCGGTTTTATTTTCTCAGTTTATTTAATTTTATCTTTATATATTTTGATTTTGTGGAACGAAGGTCTAGATGGCGATGTAGGCAATGCTAGGAGTGTTCATCTCCCTCTTCCCCAAGCGGAGAGGACCTCCCAAGACGCCACCTCCATCACACACTAACCTCAAACTTCCATCCCAATCTTTTAGTAATTCTCGTCAACTAATAATTCCTTGTGTATTAATCCTCGGTATAAGTTATGTCATTTGCTGATATCATTGTAAACTTACTCACACACTATCGTCATTGATCTTACAAACACCAGTGATCTTTCTGTGCTTCGCTGTGAACAACAGCCACACTTTTTCCTTCCATCAGATTTTTCTTTCTCATCCTTTCAGCTACTTGACTATTGCAGCCCTTCCTTTACATCATCTCTGCCACACCCAACCTCCCATTCTTGTCACCTTCCTGTCCTTAATCATTCTTTGCCGCATGCTAACCATTAATGCTTCCTCTCTTCTTATCCTATTCAGCCAGCCTCGTCCCTCCCTTACAACCCTACTCTTCCGCTTCCAATAACTTACCCCAGTCCTCTTCATGACTTCGGTTTAGGCCCTGCCACCTCACCTCCCCACCCCTCCCTTCCCTTCCCTTACCCCCCTTCCCCCTCTCCTGCCTTCGCTTCCCCTCCCCCTCTCTTCCCCTCCCTTCCCCTCTCCACACTCCCTGGCTAATGCAGGTCTCCTTGTCTTGACTTAGCCAACCCCACCCCACTACCCCGCCCTCCCCTAGCGCCCCAATTTTCGGGGCGCAGGACACAGCTCAGCTCAACACTGGTCCCGTTGACTGGAGCTCTACCAAGCTTCAGGTCACAGTAAATATCGTTGCCGCGTTGTTTGCCCCTTGAGACTGGGTTGTCTGAGTCTTGATGGCCTTAACTATCTAGTGTAATCGGTATGGATCTTTTCTTGCACAATATTCTGTGTCAACACGCCATTATTTATGAAATAATTACTTATGAGTACATGACAGAAATAGATATTGAATGATTATTCTGTGCATAATGAATAATAAAAAAATATATTATATGTATGATCATAAGAAAAGGAAACTAAGATATAAGAAATGCCATTTGCATGAGAAACTAGTGAACACGAACAGGAGGTGAGGATATAGTGAATGATGCGGGGACGTTAGTGCGGCGGGGGAACTAGTACCCAGGAGCGCGGGTGAGCCTCAGTCCGAAACGTCCTCTTCCCCATTGGTGACGTCACACGACCCTGCCGCCGCCCGCCCGCCCGCCCGCCCGCCCGCCGTGCCGCGCCCACCGCCGCTGCCGACGGCCACCCGCCTCCTTCACAGAGCACCAAAGCAGCAGCTCAGCACCAGCCGGTTGTCGATCATGTGGTGGGTGTCAGGCTCCCTGTCGCTCAATGCCTACCTCTCTTGTGTTGAAAATCGTTATTATTCTGTATCTAGATCTCTCGCAGAGTTTATTTCATTGGTCCAAAACTCTGTTACACTTCATAACCATGTAGCATAGGAATATTGTTGAAAATTTTGCAATGGGACTTTTATCTGAGTGATCGGAAATTAAAATGGAATTCTCTCCTCCCATAGTAATACTCCAGGCTTGACTGTGCTGGCACGAGGGGGCACGGTGCCATCGGGGCAGCCAATCAGCGAGCGACTCTATTTCCCTCCAGGGCGACGCGCCGCCCCTTGTTCGTAGCTAGGTGATGGTAGGGCAGAGGAGGCCCACCGCCCGGGCTGCACAACTCACTTTTGTCCACCGCAACACCGCTCCGTCCCCACCGGCACCCTGCCCTCTCCACCATACAACAACGGCTTGTAACTGCAGACACTAACTTTTAAGAGACAGTGCTGTGAAACTCCTTCAGATTTGTACACTTCTTAGTTTGTAAGGTGGAGTGCCCCACCGGAGGCGACGCCAGTACCGCACCGCTCTCTACACTACAATGCTACGCTGCTGCCGGTGGAACACTCACTACCACCCGGTTTGACCTTCTCTTGGTTTGGATCATCCTCTTGTGATACCAATTCTGTAATATTCAAATTGTTATATTCTTAATAAGCAGATTTGTTTTGTATTCAGATGTCTGCGATGAAATGTATTGGTTTAATGCTACTCCCCTTTTTGTAAGTTTGAACCCACGGAAAGCAAGGGAAGGCGCGCCAGAGATGGAGGCAACAACCCCAACTGCACCAGTCTTCCCCGGGTGCCCTTGGGGTGTCACCATCTCTGCTTTGCACCTCAATCTGATCTAAGCACATGTTGCCTTTCTTCCATCCTTCCACTCAACGCTCTAAAAGTTTAATAATCGTAAAAATCACCTTCACTCCAGTTTCCCTTACTTCCCGTAAATACCAACAGACAACGACCAGGCGATATGTTGCAGCTTAATCTTGTGGTTTGCGGAGATGAATTGAAGTAGCTCTTCTCTAAACAAACAACAGACCTGTCTCCCTAATAAAAAAATAAAAAATTAAATTACACCAACAACACCGGCCAGTGTGGTAGATAACGGCTTCCCTGGTGTAAGGGTCCTGAATGACAAGGGATCGGTCTCATATAAGGGATAGTAATATATTAAGCATAATGTATGTAAGGGAAGTGTGTGTTAAGGATTACATCCGTGCAAGATTTACCCTCGATCATTTATGTGTGAGAGTTAAACATGGGTCTTCTAAGAGGGAGAGAAGCTGAATACACATCATGTTCGTGTGAAGAAAATGAATGCAGGGAAAATAAGTCACCATGGATCATGAACGAGGGAGCATAGGGTATCAACTTGATATAATAATGTGGATATATAGCCTACTATGGATTGTGTAGTAACAACAAAAGTAAGATTTATTTATTTTTTTAGAACCATCTATGTGGGTCACTAAGGTTTGCGGTGTTGTAATTGGCAGAGTAGTTAACAAATTTTCTGGTCATTACGTGGGAGTAAGGAATTAAATAATACGAGGGTGGTGTAAATAGGAGAGGAGAGAATCGTATGCTTATGTGTGGTAAGACTCAGAAGATTAAACAAGAGGCGAAACATGCATTTGTATGTAGTCATGTACTTGATAAAAGAAAATTTAAAAGTAAGAAATGTTTGGGATTACAACCTAAGGTGTGGGAGCAGAAAAGTTATAGGCGTAGGTGGTATTGTGAATAAGATCCATTGATGTAGGTGGATGATCCATAGATGTTGAAGGCAAAATAATATTCATAGGTTTAGGTCAGAAAATAAGAGAGATTTATGGGTGCAGGTGGTAAATTAAAAAAACAATTATGCAACCCAGAGAAGAAATAGCCATTTTGTTTTTTGTAGGTGTAAATTAGTCAAAATGTAATAGAAGAATCAGAGAAGAATTTTACAGAGGCAGAGATAAAACTATGTATGTCTATTCGAGAAACAAGTGGATATTTATAATTCATCAATAATATACAGGTCGCAGTAAAAGCAGTCGCACACAGCTGAAAAAATGATGAGAAAGTTGCGTGAATGAAACAACTGGAAAAGGCGGGGAAAGGTAGTTTCGATACACCGTAGGAGAGAATGGACTACAGACGTTTTGCGTAGATGTTTTGAGAAAGTAGCCTTAGATTTATTTGCCTAAAATATTACCTCACGAATATAGCAACTAAAAGACTTAGTATTAGCAAGCTGAAGACGCGACACATAGCTCCATGAAATATATATAATAGCCAGATAAAAACGAACCACGTAACTCTAAAAGTATTAGTTCGTTGATTGTTATGAATTAATTCCAGGAAAATTGTATTAGCTTGCTGGAACTGAACCACATAAAGCAAAAACAAACCACGTGAATCTGAACCGCCTAGTTCTAAGAGAAGAGATCACTAGTAGAGAGATATCGGCGAGATCCATTTAAGCAAAAAGTGAGAGATGGTATTCCAATTCGGTGTTGAGGAACGTCGCAACTGTCGGACCCGAGCTATCCCTTGAAGCTGGCTCTCCTTCCCTCGCCCACCCTTACCTTCACCCTCTCGGGCAGGTCTAGCAGGAGGGGAGGGGGAGACAGCTTACTCGACAGTTCATGATTGCTTTATATATATATATATATATATATATATATATATATATATATATATATATATATATATATATATATATATATATATATATATATATATATATGTTTATTTAATATTTTTTTGCGTGGTGGCCGTTTTAGTTTTGTTGATGAATTATGTATAATGAAGTGTCCAATGTGAAGCTGAAACCCGGGACATTGACTGGCTTGAGCGGCAGGCGCGATCGTCATCAGTCCTCCCCGTAGCTCCGCTTCATGATCGCTAGTGTAAGCCAGGATTTAAGCAAAGGGAAATTTGAATCCACAAGAAATCATTAAGAATAGTAAAGAAAAACACACACACACACACACACACACACACACACACACATATATATATATATATATATATATATATATATATATATATATATATATATATATGTGTGTGTGTGTGTGTATATATATATATATATATATATATATATATATATATATATATATATATATATATATATATATATATATATATATATATATATATATATATATATATATATATATATATATATATATATATATATATATATATATATATATAAGTCCCCACGCCAAGGATGCTTTGGTAGTGGCAGACACCAACCGACTCAAGGAGGCGGAGATAGCTAGCTGCTTGTACTAGTTCCTTGCACAACACTCACCCAACGCGTTATTCTGAAAATTTAAGCTCTGAAGGTTTTCCTCACCCAAAGACTTTTAAAAAGTTATCGTAGTTTGCTTAGAAAGAATGCAAAAGTTATATCATGTTGTTCTTAACATTACTCTCAACAATGGTACCAACGCTCATTTTCTGTGAGGGCTTGACTCGTGCTGTAGTCTGGTTACTTACATGCAAGGTTTACTCATGTGTACCTACTTACATGCAAGGTTTACTCATGTGTACCTACTTACATGCAAGGTTTAGTCATATGTACCTACTTACATGCAAGGTTTACTCATGTGTACCTACTTACATGCAAGGTTTACTCATGTGTACCTACTTACATGCAAGGTGTACTCATGTGTACCTACTTACATGCAAGGTTTACTCGTGTGTACCTACTTACATGCAAGGTTTACTCGTGTGTACCTACTTACATGCAAGGTTTACTCATGTGTACCTACTTACATGCAAGGTGTACTCATGTGTACCTACTTACATGCAAGGTTTACTCGTGTGTACCTACTTACATGCAAGGTTTACTCATGTGTACCTACTTACATGCCAGGTTTACTCATGTGTACCTACTTACATGCAAGGTTTACTCATGTGTACCTACTTACATGCAAGGTTTACTCATGTGTACCTACTTACATGCCAGGTTTGCTGTTGTGTACCTACTTGCATTCCGGGATTACTGATGTGTATGCACTTGCATATCAATTTAAGTGTATTTACTTACACAAGACGTTAAACTGGTGTGTAAGGACTTACACATAAACGGTTACTTATGTGTAGGTACTTACATACTGATATGTTCAGTAACTACATATCAGTGCACTAGTTTTTAGTAACATACATATTGTATATGTTATGTGTAGCTACTTTCATATCATGTCTTTGCATGATGTATACTAATGTCTAAATACATACCATGTATACTGATATGTGGTTACTCGCATGCCTCTGATGCTGATATGTAGTTACACTCATGTAAAGTATATTGATGTGTGGTTGCTTACCGGCTACGTATGCTGATATGTAGTTACACAGTTGAATTGATGTGCCATCACGTGCATTATCGAGTATGTTTCTGTGTGGCTATACTGAGGGGCAGTATCGTGATGGTAGAGTTACGCAGTATTGCTGGTTCATAAAAATGGTGCGTCCGGCATATTCTTGTGTCGTCAACAGCACATCACATCCATTGTTTCTGTTGGTACAAACACACCCGGTCAACTGTTGCAGTGTTACTAACACATCTATACTCAGCTTCAGCGGGGGTCTGCTGCTCCGCCTTTGACGTCCCTCTTATCTTTATACCTCACAATCCTCCTTACCGAACATCGTCTGTGATGCTTTCTTACCACCACACCTGGTGATTTGTGGTGCTGATGATACATTAAAAGTCATAACACCATACCAGCTGTCTTTGTGGTGATAACGGCTTTACCATGCGTCATATCAGCATACCAGCGTGTTTTAAAATCTTAAGTCACATCATAAATAATATTGGGGTTATCATACAAACACTGCACATATGACTCTAAATATTGAAATATGAAATAAATGATGGAATGTTACACTTTATGCTTGCCTATAGCCATCTGGAGGCTAATTTAACCATTTATTTGAGTTAAGAAATATAATCACAATTTGGTGGTCTCCAGGGTAACATGAAAAGGGAATTGTATATTGTGTTTGATCTTGGCAAGTTTCAAACTCTGTATCCTAGATATTGTATTTGTCATTTTTGTTATTGTACTTGTTATATTATATTTTATACATCTATAAATTGTTGTATTAATAATTGAGGTCATAAATGAACCCGGATGTGACTTAGAGCACGAAGAGTCAGCAGGTGTGAGTCAGGACGCATACACCCCCACCGGTTTCTGAGTATAGTGGTGTCTAGTTACTATCACAACAGGTATGCTAATATACTCTGTTATCCTATCAATGTATGATCTCCGCAAACACATGCCTGCCGTTGATAGCCAAATGGTATAACGCTGCTACTATCCTAATAATAATATACAAATGGCATTACTTTCATTCTACATTCAGCCTTTTTGCTTGCACTTTGTAAAATGTTTTGAATTTCACAGTTTGTACTATATTATCTGTAAATAATACGTCATCGAATAAATTTTTGATAATTTACCACGAAGAAATTACATTGTTTTTCACCCCTTCAGTTCTCTGTTTATTTGTACGTTTCCAGTAGCAACAGAAAAAGAGAATGAAATATATTTACCGTATATAAACTGTTACAGCTAAATTTGCCTTAGGGTTTTTTTTAGCATTATTGTTCTAGAATGAATTAGCAGTGTAGATCCGTTATACGATCTTGAAAGTTACAGAAATTAAAACAATAAGATATACTGTAAACTTAAAACAATATGATACAGTATACGGAAAACTTAAAACAATAAGATATACTGAAAACTTAAAACAAGATATACTGTAAACTTAAAACAATAAGATATACTGTAAACTTAAAACAATATGATACAGCATACGGAAAACTTAAAACAATAAGATATACTGTAAACTTAAAACAATATGATACAGCATACGGAAAACTTAAAACAATAAGATATACTGAAAACTTAAAACAAGATATACTGTAAACTTAAAACAATAAGATATACTGTAAACTTAAAACAATATGATACAGCATACGGAAAACTTAAAACAATAAGATATACTGTAAACTTAAAACAATATGATGCAGCATACGCAAAACTTAAAACAATAAGATATACTGTAAACTTAAAACAATATGATGCAGCATACGGAAAACTTAAAACAATAAGATATACTGTAAACTTAAAACAATATGATACAGCATACGGAAAACTTAAAACAATAAGATATACTGTAAACTTAAAACAAGATATACTGTAAACTTAGAACAATATGATACAGCATACGGAAAACTTAAAACAATAAGATATACTGAAAGCTTAAAACAAGATATACTGTAAACTTAAAACAATAAGATATACTGTAAACTTAAAACAATAAGATATACTGTAAACTTAGAACAATATGATACAGTATACGGAAAACTTAAAACAATAAGATATACTGTAAACTTAAAACAAGATATACTGTAAACTTAAAACAAGATATACTGTAAACTTAGAACAATATGATACAGCATACGGAAAACTTAAAACAATAAGATATACTGTAAACTTAAAACAATAAGATATACTGTAAACTTAAAACAATAGGATATACAGTACTGTAAACTTAAAACAAGGGGATATATTGTAAACTTAAAACGTTATCGGTGAGTCATAACCGAGTGTTACAAGCTTCCACAGAGCAGTGAAAACAAATCTAATAAACAACACAAAATGAAGTATATGGGTAAGTGATACTGTACATCGATACATAAACAATGATTAGAAACATAGATGCACATGAGCAAACACTCCCATAGGTTGTAGTGGAAGTCTCCCCTACAACTGCCTACAACTGCGTAGCCACAGCCACCACACGGCACCTCCACGCATTCAGACGTGCCGTCTCCTAGCAACCAAGCTAGAGCTGTCCCCAGATGGTACGGTTGCCTAGCAACGAAACTACTCACCGGCAACTTTCTGGGTTTTCCCAACATGATTCATAGAGGACTGGCGGCTGCTGCTGGGTATATAAGCTCTGTCTCTCCATTGAGATTCATTCTGACCATTCTTCTTGAACAAGCAACACCTCCTCCTCCGCAGCTGCCTGGTAGCCCTCGCTTACCCTCGCCTGCCTGGCGGTCCTCGCTCCCGCCAGCGAGCATGGCGACCCACCAGCTGTCCTTCTCTGAGCTTCCTCACCAACCAACTCTCATTCTGCCCATCTTCCTGAACAAGCAACACCTCCTCCAGCAAGCTCCACGCTGTTAACATTTATTTCAACCAGGAGGCCAGCAACAGGCAACATCTTCTCTAACGAAGCTCCTGCACATCTACCTCCTTCAACACGCTACTCACCGAACGTCTTCTACTGAGCAGCTCCCCACCACACGGCATCTCCAGCACCAGACTGTCTATCATATAACTTATATATTATACAAGAAAACCACATTAGAGTTTCCTTCCATCCTGAGTGCTAGACAACATTAATATCTCGACGCCCCTACAGGTCTATAAATATACACACACACACACACACATATAAACACGTAGAATGAGCCAAGTTACAATCTTTGACCAGACAAAAGTTGCAGCAAGCACAGAAATATTCCATCAAGTGCAGAAAACCCACACTACACAGTACGAGGCTTCCATAGGTACGTTGACCGCTACGAGAGTTACTATTCCCAGCTGATATACAAATACTAATTAATAACCAAGGAATTTAGCAGGACCTATAAATACTGTAAGTTACTTGACAAAAGTTAAGACAAATATCAGAGGGGAGAAATAATTGGATGATGAGGCAAGGAAAAATATAATACATGATGAAATACGTAAGAATGTGTCGGGGAGCTCATGCCGTCACATTGTTCACCAATGGTCACAACTAAACACGTCGCAGCTTTTACCATCCACATAACGTTGTTTACCAGGAATTAGCTCAGAGGGGATAAACACTATTCATGCCGCCATAATTTTCACAAGTCGCTAACGACTAACCTCTCTCAAGGCAATTTT